AGCCGCTCCCGCTCCTCGAATTCCCTACGCTCTCTCTCCGCGATCTCAGCCTCTTCTTGCTCCCTTAACCTGATCCTTTCCTCCTCCTCAGGATCATTGGAACGAGCTTCCTCTTCCTCCCGCTCTCTGATCGCTGCTTCCTTTCGAATCTGCTTCCTCTTCAGCTTCTTCAGGGCTTTTCTCTTCTCCTTTCGACTCTGGAGACCGCCTAGGGTTTCGTTGACGGTCGGTTTCGGTTGTTCGTCGGCGGTGACGGGATCCGCCATTGCGACAGTGGACGTTAGGGTTTGGAGCTACGATGAGTTTTGGGAGTTAACAGGGGGCTTCATATTTGTATATTTGGGTTTTTACGATAATCATTGAAATTGCTCTCAGAACCCAATGCTTTTAGGGTTATTTGCGTATATACCCTTTACATAATGGATATTTTCAACATTATCCCCCACATCTTAGTATTAGCAAATTACCCCTCAAATCATCAATTTCGTGCCAAAAGTACCCATAAAATCGACAAATTATTAACTTGGTGCTAAAAATTTTACTATCATGTTGATAATTTTTACATTGCGATTATAAATTAGCTTATCATAGTTGATTGCTTTAAGGCTAATTTTTTCCAAAATTAATGAGTAGTTTTGCAAATATTGAGATTTAAATGGTATTTTTGCAAATACCCATCATTTAAGAGGCGTATATGCAAATGACCCAAGTTTTCATTATGCTTTTTCCCACTCTTGATTGGAAAATGAGGATTTAATATTAATTTCAATGATTAGAAATTCTTGTTATCAGAGAATTCATAAGAATTGAAGGGCCAAGTAGCAATTTCATTTGATTTAAGGGACTAATTTTATAAAAAAAAAATTAGACACTAACATTGAAAACACCTTGCATATTTCAGCTTGTCTTTTGAATGCGTCCCTATGGCCCCGTTTGGCAAATGGTTAATGAAGAGGGGTTAAAGAGAAGGATTAATGTACTTCGCCCATTTGATAATCCGAAGGATTAAATTATTAACCCGTTAAATAAGTTTTATTTTAGCCCTTATTATCAGTTTTAGTGTTTGGGAATAACAATGATTTTGACTATTTTCTTTATAATTAGAAGGGTTAACTCTTATTCCATTTAAATAGGAGTATTAGTAAACCCCTCATTTTGAGGGGTTAACTCATTTTAACCCCTCTAGAGGGTTTAACTTAACCCTTCTATATTTTTTATGTTTGGCAAATTATGGAGGGTTAACTCACTTTAATCCTTATATAGATTTGTTATGTTTGGCAGGTTAAGAAGGGGTTAAATCTCCTTAACCCCTCACTTAACCTTTTGCCAAACGGTACCTATATGACTTATAGAGTTATGGTTAAGCTAATTTACAACGGAAAAAAAAAATCTTTTTATAGGGGAAAAAAATACTTCCGTCATATATATTTATCTCATGAGCTACTGAGAAGAGAGAAACGAAATCCTTCAAGTAAGAGTAAGGAGGTAACATGAACGAAAAAGAAACATTGTTGTATACATAAACTATGACGGAACTAAAATCATGGGCATATGTTTCAATTCTTCCAAACTTATAATCAGCCTCCTACAATATACTAAAATAAGACCCTAGGATGCCACTTCCATCCATCCATCTATCTTTTTATGTATCTAATATACTAAAATAAGGTATTAGGATGTCACCTTGTCAAAAAATTTAAGTTTATTGACAATTCGTTTTCCATATTTATTTGTGCGACAATCTTATTATATTCTCTCTACTTACTAGTTAAAACAATTTTTTTGAGATTGACCATTACTCTTTTGTGTCCATATCTATAAAATAAACCAGTTGTTTGATTTAACCTTCCGCTTCACGTAATTTAAAAAAAAAAAGAAATAAATGGGAAAAAGGAAAATGAGTCACTCTGCTTGATGTCATACGCAGCTGGTTGCTAAACTTTATCTATACATTTGGCACAATAAAACTAGAAAAGCAACAGAAAAAAGGTAGCCAGAGAACTCACACTTTAATGGGTCACTCATTTTCCAAAAGAACCTTAACCACCATGTATATTGCCGAGTTGGAAGCGCTATGAGGGGTAATTTAGGGATTTGGTAGAAAAACAGTTTACACCATGACAGAGAGGGAGAGAGATCTACTAAGGAGGGGTAACTTAGGGATTTGGAGAAAATACAATACACACGATGTATATTGCTGAGTTGGAAAGGCTAAATCACACTTTATTGGGGGAGCGTTTACACACGTGAGAAAGGTTAAATGGGCTGCTCACATGAGTTTTTTAAAGTTGGAGCGAACTCACAACTTTTCCAATCCTTAATTTATTATGTATTTTCTTTACAATAAAGAAAGACCACCATTGCCCTTTCCTCTTCATTGTGGTTAATGTTCTCTTGCTTGAATTTTCTAATATTTACTTGATTTTCGTTTTGGAATAAAGATCATTTTCTCTTTTGTTTATTACAAGGGCAGAGGTTATTAATGACATCCAGATTTTAAGATTCACACAAACTTTTTTACTGAGACAAAAGTTTTTCATGGTTATTTGTTTTTTAAGGAGGTGTTTGTTTCAAATCCAAAAATTATAGGATTTGGATTTTCATATGGGATTTAAAATTCATAGGCTTTCTAACATGGGTTGGGATTTTTAATATTGTAGGATAACAAATACTATAATTTATAATATTTTTGTAATAATCCATTTTTTAAGTTGCAAATCAATTAATTAAGTTGGTTAAGTATGCAATGTTTCGTATAGGACGCCCATATCATATTAGATTTAAAAAAATAAACAATTAAAGGCCCATTAATGTTAACCTAATAAAATGCCCATCTAAATATTCTGCAGGTTCTTTTGTTACAAAGTTAGAGATCGTGAGATTTTCATTTTTTTTTTATTTTGACTGAAATTAGTTTCTAAACGAGCATTCGCGAGTACTTGCTGAATGCTAATATAAGTTCTCAAATCGAATTCGAATAATATTAAGTCTCCGAGCCGAATATGAACACGAGTTTGAACATGTGGATTAGGGTTGAATTCGAGCTCGAATAGGGTCCAACTATTCACACTCCCAAACAGTAACTTTGGGGGTGTGTGAGGACTAAATTGCCCTTCCCAAACCAAAACAGGCCAAGTCTATTTCAGAAACACCCTCAACATCAAAAGGGCATTTTCGACAATCCAACTCCCAAAATTACTGTTTGGGAGTGGATATAGCAAACATGCTAGAATAGCGGCTCCGTTTGGATACCATGGTGTTTTACTTATTTCCATGGTGTTTTTGCCAAAAACAAAACACCATGTGTTTGGAAACCATGGTGTTTTTGAGCTAAATCATCCTCAAACCAGAAACACAACACTTATTTCAAAACACCTAAAAGGTGTTTTAAGTTTGATGTTTTGGTTTTGAGTTTGAGAATGTGTTAATATAATATCTAACATAATATATTAAATGTAATTAGTATAGAGTTATTATCAACATGCTTATTATAATATACTATACTATACTATAGTTAATCTAATATATTAGTAATATTTATTAAATAATATAAAAATATAATAAATAAAATATCTTATATAATAATATAATAACATATTAAATACTAGTATTTAATATGTTAACAATGTATTATATAATAATAAATAATAATAATATATAAATAAACTAATAAAAATAATAAAAATTTATAATAATAATATAATAATATAATAATAATATAATAATATACTATACAATAGTATAATATAATATTAAAATATTTATAATATATTAATTTATTAATAACATAATATTAACATTATTAATAATATTATTTTATATGAATAATAATATAATATTATATTATATTAATAGTAGTATAATATTATATTAATAATAAAATAACATTATTATAAAAATATTAATATAATATATAACAATAACAAATTGATATACCAATATAATTAAATATATAATTATTTGAAAATAATATGTAATAATTATAATATAATACAACTCATTAAGTACAATATAATATTATAATACATTAATCAATTTTATATTGCATTATATTTAATACTTCTAATACTATAATAATTTAAACTAAATATTATAACATTTTATTTATAATATATTTTATTATAATTAATATATAATATATTAATAATATGTTTAATACTAATGTTGTAATGGGTCAAACTAGTGTTGACCAAAAATACTTAGCATGATGCTTTGAAAACATTTTAAGAGAAAAACACAACACTATGATGTTTTCTTACAAAAACACAACCAAGAAAACACAATGGTACCCAAACAAAGCAGCTTTTGATCTCAACCGTTAAAGCCCATACCAATTGGCAATAACAAAACCCGCACCGGCCTCGATATTTTGACCCGCACAATGGCTTCTTCATCACTGCGATTTTGTCCTCCCCCTTCATCGCCACTCCCCAAAGCCCTAGATAAATTTCAGCCAAAAATTAGGAATTCCGCCGTCTCTCCCCTCTCAATCCCCAGTTCGACACCTCTACCACTTTCATACCCTCGATTCTCCCGCCGGATGTCTTCCGTCAGGGTTTCTTCCGGTGGAGCGAACGGCGCCCCCGTCGCCGTTGCCGAATCTGGTACCTATCTAATTCTAGTGTTTTTTTTTTGATCTGTTTAATTGATCTAATTTCTGTTCAACTTGTTAGGTTTGAGGATTGGGGAGGTTAAGAGGGTCACTAAGGAGACGGATGTTTATGTGAGGATAAATTTGGATGGCACTGGGATTTCTGAATGCAGTACTAGTATTCCGTTCTTGGATCATATGTTGGATGTAAGAACTTTGATTATTATACTATTACTTTGTTCTGATTCCCTTTTTTTAGAGCTGTAGATCATTTTGGCTTCATTTTTGCTTCGTAGTAAACAAATTAAGATTTGAATAAACAAGACCTTCTCCTTGCCATTGGATTTTTACACTCAAAAGCTTTCATCGCAGCAACTTGCATCGCATGGGCTTTTTGATGTATGTGTGAAGGCAACCGGCGATATCCATATTGATGATCATCATACGAATGAAGATGTTGCTCTCGCAATCGGAACGGTGAATGCGCTAACGGATTCTATTTATGCTTGTTTTATGTGGAAGTGTTGTGATAAGATTATTGTTTTTCTGCACGCGCAGGCGCTCCTTCATGCGCTTGGAGATAGGAAAGGGATCCAGAGATTTGGAAACCTTACAGCTCCTCTTGACGAAGCTGCGGTCGAAGTTATACTGGTACATCGTAACTATTTACTCTTTTGTTGATATACATGAACTTTGTTTCGGATGAAAATAATTTCGAGTTGTAACTTTCATCTTTATAATCCAAGTGTTGCTGGAGTTTCATTTATGCGGTTTTATGTATGAGTAAGTAGACTAAAGGTCTGAAATAAGGGATAACTATGAACCTGGAACAGTATCATATCGCATCACTGAATGTCTGATTTGCTTAGTATTTGTTTTGTTCAACTTAGTTTCTGTGCTTGCTTGAAGAAATTGATGCAAACTGTTTGTTGAATGTTATCTCAGAGAATAGTCAGTGTTTTTCGCTAGTGGTTCTTTGAATTTTACCAAGTTATACTGACTACATCACACAATACAATTTAAAATTTGCTAAATTGAAGCCTGATATCATTGTGCACTTCTAGCAGTGCAAGTGTGCAAATGTGTTCATCTTCCATGACAGCGTAGTGCTTTTGTATGTACACTCCAGTTTTTTGTTATTTTTATCATGATAAAATGCTGATTACAATGTCTTAATTGTCGATGATTGTAAATTCAGGATTTGTCTGGCCGTCCTCACTTAAGTTATGATTTGCAAATCCCTACGGAAAGAGTTGGTACCTATGACACACAGGTAATTCTATCCATTCTCAATCTATTAATGCCTGTTTCATTGTTGGTTTGACATCCAGTTTTAAGATATTGGTAGTATTATGAACATGCATTCCTATGTATTCATATTTCACATATGTGAGCTCAATCAGCTATGAGCCTAAGATGGTATCTTATAAGGCAGCATAGATTTTCATTTATATTTCTGATATTTTCTTTTTATCGCGCAAGATAGCAACTGGTTTTCTCTGATATGTTTGTTGTTTAGGACCATAACCTAAAAGTGTTGTGTGATAGATTTATGAAAAGTCTATCCTACAAAATCTGACTTAGTAAGATACGGAGAATGCATTTGTCAATTAGCCTTATTGTTTTCACACTACAATCTTGTAAATATTCGACCACATAGTTCTCTTACTAACACTATATCATTTTCCCTTTCTTTCTTAAGAATCAATAAAGTTTTTCATCGTTATATTTCTTGCATAAGCTGCGCTAATATAATTTTTCCTATTGGAACTTGTAGTTGGTGGAACACTTCTTTCAGTCTATTGTTAACACATCTGGTATGACACTTCACATATATCAGGTATGTTTCGCCTATCGTCTAATTTATATTTAAATGTTACTATTTGTCTATTGAACTATACTACTTTCTATTTGTTTGTTACCCCTTTCATTTAAACTATATGTTTAAACGTTGAAATGTAATACATAAACCAATTACAAGTTATTATCTTCCAATGAAGATTTGATCATCTCTACAACAGTGTTGAAGAATATGGGTTATGTAACGCTTGACCTCCTGTTAGTGGTTAGGGGAAAAAACGCAAAAAAAAAACGTAACGCATAACATAAATTACATTGTTTATTAATTATTTAGATCTTTTACAAATACTTACAATTTAAAATAACTAATATTTAGAATCATTAAACTTTTCAAGCATAAGATCACAATCATCAAATATAAAAAATATAGGATCACAATTTCTTAATAAAAAGTTAATCACATATGACTAACAACCATTCCAAAAGCATCATCAAATGATCAAGTATGTTAATGTCGTCAAGTTTAAGGCAATAAAAATGAGTTTAAAATAAACCAAACACTTCTAACTCTCGAGTTCTTAACTTTACAAAAATATTGTAATTTCTGATTTAGTTAACTAGTCAACCAAACTAAACATGATTATGTAACAACAGTAAGAAATTTTGCATACACAGAGACTGTGTGCAAACTTCCACAAAATCTAGTATTAGTGAAAACTGAAAACTAAAATTTATTCAAAATCAAGTAGTAACTGAAAGTAATTATCTCACCAACACAAATAACCGACTAATTAATCACTGTACTCTAATTCTATTACAGATCTTAAAAAAATTATGTTGAAGGATAAAGTAATGGAGCAACAAATTTAATATGATTTAGGGTAAATTGGCAATATAAAAGATTGAAATTTAAAAGATAATTTCAGAATTACTATTTATTTAAAGGATATAGATTGTGATGCCCAATACATAACTGAAAAATAAAAAATTACCTTACCGGAGTCACAAAAGCCACTGATAGCTGGAGGAGTTCCAAAGGAGGCGAGGAGTTAGGGTTTGGGTTGGAGGAGGTGAAGAGATCGCATATTCGCAGGAAGACAATAGGATGACCAGGACTAAAAAGGGTAGGGTTTAAATGATTTAGACGGCAGAGATGCATCCATGCGTCCTATGCAATTTAACCTAAAAAACTCATGTTAACTAGTTATATAACATAATGCACATTTAATGCAATATAATGTATTTTTTCGGGTTAAACAATTTCAACATTGAATGAGTGTGTTACATAACAAGAGGGCACCGTTAAGTTACAAAATTGATTATAACGGGTTATATAACGCTTTCTTTAAACATTGCTTTGCAATATGGTTTGCATGTTGACATTAGGCTTTCCTGATAACTTTTTTTTTTGGTTTCTCCTGAAATTCCCCTTTACTAAGCCAGTGCCTATAAGCTTTACAAGTTGGTCTTAGTAATCAAGGTTTTAAGTGTCAGATGTCGGATTCATGCCGAATGGCTAAAATTCATGTCGGATAGCGAAAATCGGAGATATGTCAGAGGACATGAAATTTATCAGCTTGTCATATCGGATGATGTGCGTATGTGTAATATAATATCATAAATGAAATTTAAACAAACTTAATGAATTCTATTATCTAAACATATAAAAAAGTAAATAACTTATGATGTTTAGGATTGATGTTGAAGGAAAGAGGTAAGAAAAGAGAACCTCGATGTTGGCGGTGAAGGAGAGAGGAGATCGCTCGATATTGATGTCGAAGGAACAACTCGGAGAATAGACCGATGAGATGTTAAAGGAGAGAGAGAAGAGGAGTGACGAAAATGACTCTGGTACTTTTTGCCCCTAACCGATCGGGTTTTATTTTTGAAAGCAATATTAAGTCAATCAAAAATTTAAACCCAAACCTGATTAGATAAACATAACAAAAAAAAGTTAATTTTTCAGGCTGAAAAATCAGCCGATATAGCTGGCATGTCCCCCGATATATCCTGCTAACATATCCAACATGTCTCCCGATATATCCTGCTAACATATCCGACATGTTCCCTGATATATCCGATATGAACCCTGAAAATGCAATACACATTGAGAAGCTCCCTATTGTGTTGGTTGGTCCCTAAATCCACCATGTCAGCCAACATGGCCGCCATGCATGGCGGCTGATATTTAAAACACTGCTAGTAATGCCTCTAGCTCTTAGTTCTTTTGGTTAGCATTTTGATATACAGTTCCTACTATCTGGTATTTCCTTCCACCTTTTTATGACGTTACACTTAAAAAATGTTATAATATTTGCTCTTCTTTTCTTGCAATTCCTGTGACTTAATGAGATATGATGACTTATAATTTCTGCACAGCGTGCTGGAAAGAATTCACACCATATCATTGAAGCGACGTTCAAGGCATTTGCTAGAGCTCTTCGACAAGCAACAGAATATGACCTACGCCGTCGTGGCAGTGTTCCCAGGTACCCACAAGTCTTGCTTTTTTTTAAATTATTCTGCAAAAGGTCCTCTAGATTTACATAATTGATATTAATTCATCATAGATGCAGAAAGTTTGGGATCATCTTCGTATAGTCAGTTGTACGCTCTAGAAACTTAACCACAGGTTTTTGAGGGTTACTGTTTGTAATATGTTTCTGCCTTATTTGATAGTCATCTTCAATCTTTATGATTAAGAAAAATAATATTTCAAGATGGAATGGTCATTCTCAATTAGTTCTATATATTTTATTGCTTCCATTATCAATAGGTTTAATCACACTTGCCCTACCTACATTTTATTGCTTCTGTTGCCTGCCCACAACTATTTCCTTTCTCATTGAAAGTCCTTTATACTTGCATGAAGGTAAATTTTAAGGAAAAAGAATTTACTCATGCTATAATTGTCAAGAAGAATTTTTCTCCTCTACTGATATCCAATTCATCTGCAATGGTACTTCTGAATAATGTGGCTAGAGATGGTGGAGTAGTATCCACAAGGCTCTGGAAAGTACTTTCTTTTTACGAGAGAGGAATCAATGTGGTATGATATGATTGACAAAGCTGTTATGGAAAGAGGTGCCTGCTTCGGGTTGCAGCAAATGAGCTTCATATGAGCTATTCTTATTATAAATTTATAAGAAAATTAACAAATTAACAATTCCATAATAAAAATGGAAAAACAAGGAGCTAAAGAACTAATCTTTTATGTCCTTGAACATGTTTCAAAATCAGTTCTTGCTTTATCATTAATGGTGAAGATACCTGACCCCCGCCTGGCATGTGACACTAGTTGTGACTCAAGGGCCTGTTTGGCAATTGGATATAGAATACTGGGTAAGGATTGCAAACGTAGCAGGAAAATTGGAGAGTTTCGATGTGGAAAACCAGTTTGTTTGCTTGAATGGAAGTAGGAAAGCGGAAATGTTGAAGTGGTGAATATTCAGAAAATTATCCTAAATCTGCAAGTTTAGAAAGTGAGATGTGAACACTAGCAAAACAGCAATACATTTAATCTGTGGTCACTTTATTGGCCTTTTCACATTTCAATGTTAAACTGAAAATGATTAGATACCAAATATGGAGTATGTAAGTGACTATATGCATGTGTACTTTCCCTCCCTCCCTCCCTTCCTCATGAATCTGATGATATTTACCATCTCTGTCTACTTTTTGCTTCCACATTTACTCATCACACTCATCACATATTTCAGGGGCAATTATAAGGCAGAGTTCCCCATCGATCCTAGTAAGGGACAGTAGAATTTGACGTATGTAGAAATGGGCAAAAACAAAACACCTTTGTTTCCAGTAAACTTGGTAGATATTTCGTCTTAATCAATGGAGGTTTGCAGGAATTACACCCATAATGTCGTCAAAGGACTTCTTTTATTTTGTTTGTGTAACAAATTCGACTCACCTTGACTGGCTTCTCATATTTTTATTATCTTACCGATAACCAATAATTCGTCGTCACATTTATTATAGGAGCTGGCAACTACTCATATGCATTTCTAAGTTTTATAACATCATTTTGTTACTGCAGCTCTAAAGGGGTTTTGTCACGATCCTAAGCTCTCGGGTGAAAGGCATGTAGATTGCGTTCAATATCCTTACTCCATATCCATCAAAAGGGGATTCAACCATTTCAACCCTTTAGCTAATCAAATGGGAACAAGAAGGGAGAAACGAAGCGGGGATCCAAACTTATGAAGTTATGAAAGACCTTTTACTGTGGGAATCGTGTGCACTTATGATAGCAGTGATAAATTTGTAGGTAAACTATGGAGCATAAAACTTTGTTTTGCTGTGCCACGAGTTTATGCTACAATATGTGTGATTTTCATTGTACCTTCGAGCTTTGCTACAGGGACCCAAAATATGGGACCAATAAAAAGGACAAGTGAGGTGTCTCCCTCCTATTGAATAATAAGTTGGCCATCATTAATGATGACCAACTCATTATCCAATAGGAGGGGGACACCTCACTTGCCCCCCCTATTGGTCCCATATTTTGGGTCCTTAAGGAATTTTTCTTTCCTCTAATTGACCCATAAATGAAATGAAATGAAATACGTTAAAATCTCTTATTTCTTGAAACACATTTAATTTGAGCCCTGAAATAATATACAACCCTCTAAAGTCCTCGGAGTACAAATTCTACCTCAACGCCTCGCATTTTGGAAGGCACTTTGGGCCTCACGCGGAGGGATAAGGCACAAGTTGTATAATCCATCGTCTTTCTGTTTGGTTCAGAACATCCTACGACCATCGTTTTCTTCGCTCAATCTTTCCTCTTGTGAGTCTCCATAAACCCCCTGATCTCCCCAACCAGCATCCCACTCTCCTTCAACTCCGGAAACACGTAGAAAGCGTGCACTCCGTCCTCGTACTCCACCACCCTCACCTCCTCCTGCTCCTCGTCCTCGCAGCCGTTCGTCGCGTACTCCTGCTGCCGATCTGCAGGCGGTCCAGCCCCCGTCGACCGACCATCGGCCGCCTCGGAACCCTCCCCAAGGGGCTCCTCCGCCCCTCCCTTCCCCGCCGAAAACGTTCGCGCGCCCCGTGGTCCCTGTCCGCTCCCTCCGCAGGAACGCCCTCCAGTGCCAGTCCGTGCCTCCGTCGACACCAGCGGGGCCCCCTTCACCTCGGCTCGCCTCCGTCCTCTCCTCGCCTTCGGAAACGGTATATTCATCAGCCCGCGCAGGGTGACTCTCTTCCATTCTCTCGTGCTGTCCGCGTAGTATTTCGCCACGTGGTGAGCGATGTTGCCGCCGGCGCTGTCCCCCATCAGGAAGCAGTTGGACAGATCTAGGTGGAGATCGGCGAGCATAGCGGAGCCTGAGAAAACTAAATTTAAAAGTTTGACACATTTTTTGAACTCTGATACTCTAGACTTTGAGATATATATTACTAAAGCCAAAAAAAAAAAAAGGGAAGTGCAAATTAATCACTATCGGATTGGGCACTCGCAAAACCTGCAGGTCCATTCTCAACTGAGCTCAGATCGGCGCTATCGAGAAACCGGAGGACATCAAAACCATCAACATACTGAGCAGGATGCTAGCTCGCGGGCCAGCCTGCGGCAAACGTCGTCGTAGACGCGGCTCGCTGGCGAGAGGAAGGTGAAACCGCCCCATGGAAGAACACACGACGGGGCCCCCCGCCGCAGCCCGGAGGGAGAGGAAGAGGCGGAACCAGAGGTTGGGGCGGGGTCCACGGAGACGTCGCGCGAGCGGACCCGTTGACGGGGCGGCGGTCGGGGGAGCGGAGGGGGTCGAGGAAGGAGAAGAGGCGGCGGTTGGACGTCCGTCGCGGCGGCGGGTGAAGCCGGTGGCGGCTGTGAGGAGGGAGATGAAGACGCGGTTTTGAGGGGGAGTTTAAGCTGGGGCTGTGGGACTCGTTCGTCATTTTCTCGGATTCTTTTTTTTTTATTTAAAGGATTGATGGGAGAGTGAGAGTGAGGCGGAGGGAATGGAGGGGGGTGAGGCTGAGAGGGACTTTTTGTAGCGGGAAGAAGCTCAACTGACAGCTAAGCAAGGCAAAATAAAAGTAGTATTGCTACGGGGATCCAAAATATAGGATCAATGGACGGGAAAGGTGAGGTGTCCCTTCCTTATTACATAATGAGTTGATATAGCTAACTTATTATGCAATAGGGAGGGGACACCTCACTTGTCCCTTCAATTGGTCTCATATTTTGGGTCCTTAAGTCATTTTCCAAATAAAAAGCGAGCTCAACCACTTGCATGTTGGAAATAAATGAGCCAGTATGGATTCCCTGTATTTCCTCTCAACCTTGTAATAAATGCCGTCAGGGCTAGACATTGATGGCACTGGGGGGAGACGCGTAAGCGACGTCGTGTACGATGGTGTCCGCACGATATATACCACTGGATTTCTAATAAAATCTTAACTCTGTCGTTGATTGATTGTAACAGAGAGAAATTATTTTAATTTACGGGAGCATGCGTTTAGCAATAGCATATAATTTTTCTTAATCGCTTATATGACACTCGCTCGCGTCCTAATTGATTCTAAGTGTTTCGGCTAAAAAGTTTCGAGTTTGCATAATCGAGAGAAATTGTGTGTCGGTTTTGAACAAAATAGAGTATATAAATTCCAAAAAAAAAAAAGTTAAGGTATATAAGTGCTGTTGATGTACTAGTGATCATACAGTCAATTGTATCCGTGGTTAGATGGGGTTGTTGAGTATTGATAAGGAGTCGCTTTCTTCCCCGACTTTATGTCCGATTCTTGAGTTGAGTGGCTGAAGCTTACACAAGTAGAAACTCATGAGAAGACGGGGCTTGGTTCCCCTGTGGTTCCTCCGATGATCAAGTCAGCTGGTGAACTTGAGTGGAGAAAAATAAAGAACTGTGAGAGTTTTTACTTAAAGATCAGATTAAGATTCAAATCAAGATCCTGTTTTAGATCAAATCCGATCCTCCCCTTAAAGATAGAATATTACCTTCATTTATACCAAGGGTATAAGGGTAGATCAGTCACTTCGGCCGAGCACAGGATGACGGTGACGAAGTGTGGGCTGGTGGCTGAGTCAGCATCTACTTTACAGGTGTCGGCTGGCGACTGGATGAGCGATCAGCTCAACATTAAATAGGAAGTGATTGGTGGCATGACGGTGCCTGCGTGGTCCAATGAGTCATGAAGTCTATCGGGGTTAGAGGCATGATGCGTCTGTCAAGCATTAAATGCGATGCAGACACGTTGCCAGTGAGATAGACTCGAGGCAGAAGTTATTCTTTAACTTCACCGAGAAGTAACGCCTTTCGAGTAGTCCTCGCGAGGCGTCCAGCAATTGGTCGAGTGTGGCTCGTGGCGAGTTGTTTTCGACAAAAAAGGGCGACAAGTATCGCCTTTCATGTCGACATGAGAGAATGTCTGTAGGTACTAAAAAATGTCAAGGGACAAAGAAGTGTCGAATCACTACAAGCATGACGAGGGTTGTCACAATGACGAACCTCGTCTCGGTCAATGAGGGTTGTCTCAGCTAAGACGAGACTCACAACGCCTCACCCCTCAAAAGACGAAGTTTGCCATTGGAGACGAAGCTCGCCTAGAGACAAGACTCTAAATGCTTTATCCTTCAGGAGACGAAACTCCTTCAGAAAACGAAGCTCGTCATTAAAGACGAAGCTCATTATTGGAGACAAAGCTCCTATAGAAAACGAAGAACATTCAGAAGACGAAGTTCGTCAGACGAAGTTCATCTAGAGACGAACCTCGCCAAGCAGCAAGACTCGCCTCAGAAGACGAGGCTCACAACGCAGTAAGGTTCGACCATCAAAGACGAAGCTCGCCATACAGCGAAACTCGTCTCATCAAACGAACCTCGCCACGCAGCGAGGCTCGTCTCATCAAGTGAGGCTCGACGCTACGAGGCTAACGGCCATGAAGACCTAGTCAGCCAATGCGCGCTAAATCTAAGGAGTCAGTTATGCTCCTGATCACATAATTTCGACGTCAGTTACGCACTGATGACCTATAAATAGCCATGGACAGCTATGAAAGAGACACTTTTTGGGTACTACTTTTGGAGATCCGAAGATCTTGAGACCCAAGAGATCAGACGCACGCGCGTCAAGAAGCAACAGCAACCGCAAGCAGCTCAAGTACTCGAAAGAGTTCCTCCTCGGGTTGGAAGCAATCTTGTTCCAATCGTCAACGAGAAGTAAGCTCGACACGAGCATTGAGCGAGGCATCTCATCGTCACATTGAATCCACGTTAAACAAATGAGAAGTCGAATAAATCTTCTCCTCTTCTGTACTTGAAAAAGAATGACTGTAAAAAGATTATTACTAGGCGATAAAATATCTTCTTACAACTAAAACAGTTAGAACATCATTCGTTTTGTCTTTTTCGGGATTCTATAATGTCTACTCGACAAGTCGGCTGAGTTGTCGTCCTTACTAGTTTATGGCCGTCAATTTGATTGGGGCATAACATACGGTACACTTGTTCGTTGCTTGGCAATGAGTTGCTTTTTAGCGAATGGGAACACCATAACAAGTGCAAAACGAGTGAAACTATAAGGTTTTTTAGTGTCATTTAGCCAAATCAAATTGAACAATAGAAATTCGATAGGCTCTTGCAGTTTAACCGGTTCTAACCAGTTAATTAATGCTCGGCCCTAGAATTAAAAACAAAACGCGAGAGGAATATATAATGCTTTATCTTAAATAATAAATTAATTAAAATTACTTTAGGAGCTCGGAAGCCGTTCCCGACTCTCTTTTATATATAAAAAATGCGTTTTAAAAAAGCTCTATGATATTGACAGTCAAGATTCGAACCCGCCTACTACGGAAAATCCATCGTGCAGTTACTATAATTCCAATCGCAAGTAATATGACGGAAAATTAGTCAAGGATTTTTTTTTCGAAATTAGTCACCTAAATCTTTCAGATTTTTGTAATTAGTGGTCCAAAACTCATTAAGTATTTTGAACTTAGTCCATGAAATCTTCATTCGTATTTTGAAATTAGCCTCTCAAATGTTACTAGTGTTTTGAAATAGGTCCCTCTAGCCATCACCGGGTTGAAAGATTTGGGGGGCTAATTTCAAAATATTCAAAACATTTAACATATAGGACAAATTTTGGAAAGCAACCCCTTTCCAAAAGTAATTATAAAAAAGGACTTATTTTAAAATTATTCGCAAAAAATGACCTAGTTTCAGCCAGTTTGCTGAAACTGTGTCGCTTTTTACAAAAAAAAAAGTACCAAACTTCACAGGACTTGAAGAGAGCCGAAGTCCCGTGAAGTTTTGTTATGTAAAACTTCAAGTCCCGTAAAGTTTTGTTATGTAAAAAGCTTCACAGGACTTGAAGTCCCGTGAAGTTTGGTATTTTTTTACAAAAAACGACCTAGTTTCAACCAACTAGCTGAAACTGGATCGTTTTGACAAATAATTTTAAAGTAGGTAGTTTTTAATAATTATTTTTAGAAAGCGGTTGCTTTTCAAAATTTCTCCTTAGGGCCTGTTTGTTTGCCTAAAAAAATTTGAAAATCAAAGAAATGAAAAACTATTAAATCAAATAATTGTTTTGGGAGTGTTTGGTTTGCTAAAAAAAAGAAGGAAATCAAAGAAATGAAGATGAGTTGTCACCTTATTATAGGATGATGCGAGTGATTTTTTAAGAAAACTTGTTTTGATATTGTTTGGTTGGCGAAAAAAATAATGAAATAAATTATAAGAAACTTATTTCTTGTAATAGGTTGTTTTCTTTTGCTTGGTTATTTCTTAAAAATAAGAAAATATATGAGATGAGATGAGTTGTCATTATATTATTGGATGATGTGACCCACACTTAAGGAAATTGTTTTCCTAGCTTTTTGGGAGGAAAACAAAGAAATAAAATGTTAATGATATGAGATGAGTTGTCACAATCTTATTGGATGATGTGAGTAATTTTTAAATATGAGATGAGATAAATTGAGTGATGTTGTGGATGGAAATAATATTTTATTAGATGTGGTGGATGTGATGGATGAGTTGTTGGATATTGAGTGATGTTGTGGATGGAAATAATATTTTATTAGATGTGGTGGATGTGATGGATGAGTTGTTGGATGAAAATAATATTTTATTAGAAAAATAATATTTTATTAGATGTTGTGGATGAGTTTTAGGGATGGAAATGTGTGAAATTGTACTTTTTGAGTTTTCTTAGTTTGCATTTCTATTTTTTGGTTTTTTAGGAAATAACCAAACAGCCCCTTAACGTATACGAAGAACTAACTTCAGAAGGTGATAGATATCGTGGACTAAGATCAGCAAAACCAAAGCTGTCAATTGTTGACCACCTCTCTAAGAGCATCTCCAAGGGGCCGGAAAAATCCGGCCCCTTAGCTAAATTTGGGGATTTTTAAGGGGAATGGGTTCCAAGGGACCGGGAAAATCCCCCTTCAACCCCATGTCCCTTAGCTTCCTCCCCAAATTAAGGGGAAGGTTAAAGTCCCTTAACCTTCCCCTTATAATTTTTTATTAATATATTTTATTTTAGAGTTAATTTATAGTTAATTAATTTTAGTTAATGTATAGTTAGTTTAAAATAATATAATTAAGTAATGTATAGTTAATTTAATTTGATTAATATTTTTAAATTAATATAAAAATAATATGAATTTAAATTTAAAATAATATTTAACTTTTAACACAATTAATATAAATTAATTATTATCTCAATTAATTATTTGTTAGATTTTAATATGATTAATTAATTTAATGATTATATAAGGTAATTTCTTAATTTAAATTAATTAATTAATTATATTTAGTTATTAATATTTAATTATTTATTCATTTATAAATAAACCATATATTTAATTAAATTATAATTTATAAAATTAAAAAACTAAACATAATTAATTAAGGGGTAGATGACTTT